TAATCCTAGCTACTCAGGAGGCTGAGATCTGAGGATCGTGGTTCAAAGCCAGCCCAGGCAGGAAAGACCATGAGATTCCTATCTCCAATAAACCATCAGAAAACCGGAAGTGGCGCTGTAGCTCAAGTGGTAGAGCCCTTGCCTTGAGCTGAAGAGCTGAGGGACAGCGCCCAGGCCCAGAGTTCAAGCCCCACAACCAACAAAAAAAAAGAAAAGAAGGAAGGAAAGAAAGAAAAAGAAAGAAAGGAAGGAAGGAAGGAAGAAAGGGAAGGAAGGAAGGAAGAAAGAAAGAAAGAAGAAAGAAAGAAAGAAGAGAGAGAGGAAGGAAGATGAATGGGAAATTTTTTTAATTGTGAAAATATTGTACAGAGGGGTTACAATTACATGGGCAAGATAATGAGGACATTTCTTGTCAAGCATTGTAGCCTCCTCCTTTGTTTTCCCTTCCCATCCCTTCCCATCCTCCCCCCACACTCCCCCGCCTCCCTATGGGAAATTCTTTAGGACTATAAGGATAAATGAGAGGAACAACATTGCTTCTAGTGTCCCTGGGGAACTTCTCTAACTCTTTTTGAATCATTACTTGTAGACCCAAATGGCTTCTCCAGGTTACCTTTAAGGGAGCTAGCCTTTAAGTTCCTGCCTGAGTTTCACACCACAGTCTTGCAATTGCTGACACACACAAGGCTAGGCAGTGGGCTTGAGTTCTCTGAGAAGATCGTCTCTTCCTTGCCTTCCTTCTTCCTACTGCAATCCCAAGTCTATCTCCCAGGTGGTCTTTGGCCAAGACTCCTGAGCCTGCATAGTATAGAGCTGGAAGTCCTTTGAGGTGTACCATAACCACCAAGCAAGTCTCATTACCAACTACCTCCTCCTTCCCACCTACTGCAGCCTATTGCTGGGAAACACTTCCCTCTGCCGGCCAGGCTTGAAACTACAAGAGAGTTGTCTTCTTTCTACCCAGCAAGGAATCTTGCCCTTCCTTTGGATCTTCTCTCAGGGCACCAGTCCCAGAATCCAGAGGTCTGATTGTGTCCATGTACTACGACCTCAGTCACTCTCCATCTTGCTGCCCCAAACTCTTGTTTATCCTCCTGGGATCTAGCCACACTTGCCTTCCATGTGTGTGTGTGTGTGTGTGTGTGTGTGTGTGTGTGTGTGTGTGTCCTGGGGCTTCAACACCCAGCCTGGGTGCTATCCCTGAGCTTTTTTTGCTCTTTTTTGCCAAGTTTTTGTGGCTCTACCACCTGATCCACAGTTCCATTTCAGCTTTTTGCTAATCAATTGGAGATGAGAGTCTCATAAGTAGGGCGCTGGTAGCTCACACCTGTAATCCTAGCTACTCAGGAGGCTGAGATCTAAAGATTACAATTCAAAGCCTACCTGGGAAGGAAAGTCCATGGGACTCTTGTCTCCAATTAACCACTAGAAAACTGGAAGTGGTGCTATGGCTCAAAGTGGTAGAGCTCTACCCTTGAGCAGAAAAACTCAAGGACAGTGCCCAGGCCCCGAGTTCAAGCCCCATGACAGACATTTTTTAAAAAGAGCCTCATAGACTTTTCTGCGTGCACTGGCTTCACATCTTGAGCCTCAGATCTCAGCCTCCTGAGTAGCTAGGATTACTGGTGTGAGCTAGTGGCACCTTCCCAGCCCTACCTTCTTGGTATTATTGCAGTCATTACTCTGCCCACTGGCTCTCCACAGGCTGTTCCTTTTACCTCAAATGCTCATCCGTCACCTTTGTTATTACCTAGCTCTTCTTTACATTCTTGACTCTAGAGTCACAGCTCTTGGCCTGCCTAGGCCATGCTTCCATTACAGGCTCTTTATAGCACTGAACGCTGCCTGCTTACAGCACTGACCACTGGTACAGTTCTGCATTTATCTGAGCATCTTCTGATAACATTGGTCTCCCCCATCCTTAGCCGCACTTGGAAAGCTACCAGTGTGAGTCTAGTATGGAAATACACTTAGCTAATTATTTGCTAATAAGACACCCACCTTAAACCACCTACCTTACCCAGCCTCCTTCCTCATCTTATACCAAGGGTTCCCTCTGCTAGCTCCTCCCCAGATAACCCCATAGAGTTTTGAAGCTGTTTGCCTGAGGCCCTTGAGGCTGAGCTCCCTGCCTCCGACCTCCAGTCTTTCTCTTTTATGGCCCTTCCTCTTTCCTGATAGAGGAAAGAAGATGGCCAGGCCTGAGGACCCACCAGGAGGGCTCCACTTACCTGGATGGCCTCTGCCTTGGCCTCATCTTTCTCCTGCATAGCCTGCACAGAAGGCAGTGAGAACACACTCTGCACACACGTGTTCACCAACTCTACTCGCTCACGCACACTCAGGTTAGGCTTGGTGTGACTAGGAAGAAACAGAAAGCAAAGCATGGAGGGAGGGAGGGACTCGGGATGCAGGGCAGGGCAGAGGGCACCTGGGATGGGCCCTGGGGAAGACCGAGGTTAGATCTACAAAGGATGAGGTGGGATGGGACCAACTAGAAGGGTTTGTGCAGGGGGAGTGGGCAAAGAATGGGGTAGAGGAGAGGTCCAGAAGAGAAAGGGGCACCTGGAGGGAAAGGGGGAGGGACTGGGACAGGGAGGGAGCTGTGGACACCTCAGCTGGGTCAGCGTCTCCATGGCCTGCCTCCGGATGGAGCTGGAGAGGGAATCCAGTGGCTCCTCTTGGATCTGCCTCTAGACAAGGGGCATGGAAAGGCCAATGAGGAAGAGGGGAAGAGCCAGGATTGCCCTCCACACTCGCCTCAGCTCTTTATCCTAGGTAGAACTCCTCCACTGATACAGGCCAGAGAACCAGCTCACTGCCAATGCCATCCTATACCCCCAGTTCAAAGCCAACCAAAATACCCCATGCCCTAACCTATGTGCCCCATGTAGAGAGCTTAGCAAGAACTGTTCTTCTTTCTTTCTTTCTTTCTTCTTCCTTCCTTCCTTCCTTCCCTTTCTTTCTTTCTTTCTTTCTTTCTTTCTTTCTTTCTTTCTTTCTTTCTTTCTCTCTCTCTCTCTCTCGTCGGTCATGGGCTTGAACTCTGGGCCTGGGCACTGTCCCTCAGCTCTTCAGCTCAAGGCTAGCGCTCTCCCACTTGAGCCACAGTGCCACTTCCGGTTTTTGGAGTGGGTTTTTGGAGATAAGAGTCTCACAGAGTTTCCTGTCCAGGCTGGCTTTGAACCATGATCCTCAGATCTCAGCCTCCTGAGTAGCTAGGATTACAGGAGTGAGCCACTGATACCCAGAAAGAACTGTTCTCATAGCAGCCTTCTGGTGACTGACGTGTTTAAACCATAGAATTGGCCTGAAGCAAAAAACACCATCCCTGGCTCTCAAAAGCTGTCCAGTTGAATGCTTTAAAACACTAATTATTTCTCGCCCCTGATTAAACACTTACACAGAATAGGTGCTCAATTAGTGCTACTTAAAGGAAAGTAGGAAGCATAAGGACTTTTTCTCTATATGGGAGAATTGAACTGAACTGAACTTTGGAAAGCTCAGTGAGTATTGGTGTCCTGCTCATTCTGGTGGGGTGGCTGAGAAGAGACTGCCCTGAGCAAAATCATCGGGGAACCCTCTGAAGTTGCTTGCCTGGTGTAACGCCTGGACAAAGCCTACGGTCTCCAGCAGCACAGGCTTCCCCACAGACTAAGCTTTGGGTTGTGTCCTTCCATGAGCCAAAGTCACCAAGCATTATCATATCCACTGGTGAGACAAGAAGACAGAGCTTCCCCAGGGGAAATGACTTGCCAAGCTCTCCCCAAGTGGGTGGAAGGCAGAGGTGGAGCTGAGGCTCAGGTCCGGGTGAGCTGCCTCTTATCTTGTCTTCTTCCTGTCTTACTCCACCCACTCCCCCCAGTCTCCCCAATGAGTGGACTCAGACATTGCCACTCCAGTGGAACCTTATGGGGACCCCAGTGGCTCCCGCACCATCATCTTTTTCACTATCATCTTCTTCTCTTCTTCTTCCAGCAAATCCCGGTTCTTCTGCAGTCTGATAACATCATCCACCTTAGGAGCAACAGAGAATAGAACCACAGGGGGAGAGCCCCTCTGAATCCAACCAGCCAGGAGAGCACCTACCACACCTGCTAACTACCCACTCCAGCAGGTGGGCAAGTCAGCTGGCTCCTCAACCCCTTCTCCCCAGCCCTCAGCATTGGCTCAAGAGAAATGACAAGTTTCTACAAGAGGTACTTGGGGTGGGTGAGGATTGGAGAAAAGTCTTGGTGGCAGGGTAGGGAGGACGATCCTTGGAGGCCAGCATTTGGAGAAGTATATATGAGAGACTGCAAACCCTTCCTCCTCCTCTAGTTAATGGAAAGGTAGAACAGAAAGGGTTCTGACATCTCAGCCTGAAATCCCACCATTAGCAACTCTCTTCCGAGCTTTCTGGTACAGACCAATTCAGACATTCCACTACTTGAGAGGGAATACATTAACCAATATGGTGGCATCGCAGCAAAGTAGGTTAGGGGCTGGACATACCAGAGTCACCGTGTGACCATCTCTTGTCTCTGGCATCTTCACCAGGCATGAGGTCACATCATCCAAGGCTCCTGCATGTCAACAGTTTCAGTGGGGAGAGAAGGGAGTAAAGGATGGGTGCTTTGGGTGCTATAATCTCCTCCCCCTCCCATCTGGACATCTTCATCCTCATTCCCCCAACAGCCAAATTAAACTTCATTTTTTTGGCCCAAGAGCAGGACTTGAACTCACTATCTAATGCTTGCTTTCACTCTTGGCTGGCGCTCTACCACCAAAGCCACTCCTCTAACCTGATGACATTTAGACATTTAGCCTTTTTCCACCTACTTCTCCCCTTGAAGTGTGCTGTTCCTCTTTGGGCAGTTCACTCTTATTCAACCACCCACCTCATGCTTTGAAGTGTACTTATGCTTTTCTAATAAGTCCTTCTTTTCTACGATCTTATTCTTCCTGGTTCTCTTTTCTTCTTCCTCTCTCTCTCTCTCTCTTCTCTCTTTCTCCTTCCTTCCTCCTTCCCTCCCTCCCTCCCTTCTTCCCTCCCTCCCTCCTTTCCTTCCTTCCTTCCTTCCTTCCTTCCTTCCTTCCTTCCTTCCCGTGCTTATACTGTTTTGAACTTTAGCTTTATTCACTCAAGGCCGGTGCTCACTACTTGAGCTGCAGCTCCACATCTGGCTTTTTGTGGTTAATTGGAGATAAGAAGTTTCATGGCGGTATTTGATTTTGGTACTCTGCATCTTATATATACATTTACCTAATTTGGGGACGGGAAAAGGGGAATAACAAAATGCTGAAACAAGGACACACGATGACCCATTGCAACAATGAGACTCACAAGACACTCTGTTGGAAATGAACTTTACAACTTCGGGTGGGGGGGGGTCGAGTGGGGGAGATGGGCGAGGGAAAGGATAGTAGGAGAAAAGCAAAGGAAGGGGGGGTAATAATGCTCAACAAGAAATGTACTCAGTACCTTACTCGTAACTGTAACCCCTCTGTGGAGCATTTTTACAATAAAATTTTAAAAATTAAAAAAAAAAGAAGTTTCATGGACTTTCCTGCCCAGGCTGACTTGGAACCGCTATCCAACTATCCTTAGATATCAGCTGCCTGAGTAGCTAGGCTGCCTATTGCTCTTAACCTAAAACTATGCCAAAGCAGTGGTGCTGTGTGACTACTCAGCATATCTGATTCTGCTGTGAAATCTCGGAGGATATTTGACCATATCTGCAACATTACAGAAAAAGCCACCCGAGACCTGCCTGGCACATTCATTCTGTGCAATAGCTGTGCACATGACATAAAGAATTGTCCCAAATGGCTCATCCCCCCCCTCAAATAAAAGATATGAAATAATCAGTTCATGTTCCTTCCCCTGCCTAAAGCCCCACATCATCTGTCATAAGGCCTCATCCTTGCCAGTCTACATGGCCACATGGCCACTTCTCCTGCTTTATCCTCTTTGCTCTCCCCTGCCTCCTTGGCTCTGGCCACACAGGCCTCCTTATGGTCCTGGACAAGTTCCCCATCAAGGCCTTGCCATGTCATTTTCTTCATCTGGGCCATTACCTTGTCATGCCCTGTTGTTCCCCTAGGGTGCCCTCCCTCAGGTCTCTGTGTGCCTGCCACTCCTGGCCTTCGTATTACATGAGGGCCCACTGTGTCCTGCTGTGCTATGTTCTGTTCTCTTCTTCCCAAGTTATAGCCAAAGGCTTATTTGTTACAGAGAGTATCACTCAACTTGCTGTAGGTGAAAGAGCCTCATCTTTCTGGGGATGAGGGCTCCCCACTCCATGCAGGTAGGTGAAACTGAATGCTGCAAGCCCCACTCACACCTCCTCTTTAAGCTCAAGCTTGGCCAATAAGCATATCTCATGCCTCCATGTGCAGTGACTGGCCCAGAGATGGGCACGTAAGGGAGCAGCTCCCAGAAAAGCCCTTTATTTAAGGATATCAAGGTGACATCAAAAGAGAGCCTTTCAAGGTCAAGGTTAGCAGAACCGGGGAGAACTAGGGCTCCACAGTCATCTTGGCTGGAACTGCCAGAGGCTATCGGGAGATGGAGCCAAGAGGAAGTACTGAATACAGCTGGTGCCAAGATCTTGGAGTCTAAATTCCATTCTCTACCAAAACCAGCAAGGCTCCTTGGAGAAATGGTGGATTCCAGGGGAAGTTCAGGGTGAGCTGAGACATCTGCTGCCAGAAAACAAAGGACAGAACTCCCCCAAAGCAATGAGGCATGTCAAAGGGACACAGAGGTGATTCCACTGGTCAAATTAAAGCAAATATGAGGATGGAGACAAATAATAGGAATAGGAATAATTTAGGAAACCACAACAGTGTACTAATATAAATAGATGCATGAGACAATTTGATAAGGAATGAAACACAAAGCACCTTGTGCCACAAGATGTGTATTATAAGGGAGAAATAGTGACTGCACAGCAGAGAATTTCCCTAGCAACCATCTTTCTCAGGTGATCAAAGTGAACATTAGTCAGGGAACAAATAAAAATCACCAGGCACAAGACAAGGTGGCAATGAGCAAAACTCCCATCTTTCTGTGCTATTCCCTGCAAAGGATGCAAGACCCAAAAATCTGCTCATGAGGAAACATCAGATGAGCCCAGACTCAGTCACAGCCTACAGAGCAGCTGGTCCATAACCTTCAAATGCGTCAAGGACATGGAAGTCAGGAAAAGGCTGGGGACTGAGGGAGATAGAACAGACTGGATGGAAAATTACAGGAAGAGATCCTGAACTGGATCCTTTGCTGCAAAGGACATTGCTGGGAAAACATGTAACATGCGAAATGGGGTTAAGCATTTGATGCTACTTGCTTGTCAATATTAATCTCCTGGCTATGGTTATTATATTTTGTCATTTTTTGCAAGAAATATACTGGAATTCAGATGTGATGGACCACTACTAATTGTCTCCTGATTTAGAAATCAACAGGTTTAGCACTATACTTTTGATTTTTCTCTAAATCATTTTCGATAATCATTCAGACATTTAGTCAGTTCTCTTTTTTTGGGGGGGGGGAGTCCAGTCGTAGGGCCTGAACTCTGGGTCTGGGCACTGTCCTTCAGCTCTTCAGCTCAAGGCTAGCGCTCTACCACTTGAGCCACTTGAGCCACAGTGCCACTGCCGGCTTTTTTCTTTTTGCTTAGGTGGTGCTGAGGAATCAAACCCAGGGCCTCATGAATGCAAGGCAAGTGCTCTACCACTGAGCCACCTTCCCAGCCCTTAGTCAGTTCTTAACATAGAAACACACTGCTCTAGGTGCACTTAGTAAAAGTAAACTAAGATTCCAATGTGGTGGTGCACAGCTGTAATCCCCATACTCAGGAAGCTGAGGCAGGAAGATAAAGAGATGGAACCAGATTAGGCTATATAGCAAGACCCAAGACCCTTACCTAAAGAAAATAAGTTTATTGGGGGGGAGGGGAGGGGAGATGGGAAGAGATGGGAAGGGGAAACAAAGGAGGAGGCAACAATGCTGGATAAGGAATGCACTCATTATCTTGCCCATGTAATTGTAACCCCTCTGTACAATATTTTCACAATAAATAAATTAAAAAAAAAGAAAAGAAGTTTCTCTCTTGATTGGAAGGGAAAGGGAATCACAGAAACAGGACAAAGGATGAATGAATGCAACAATGATACTCACCAGACACTATGTTGGAAATGAACTTTACAATTTGTGAAGTGGGAAGGGGGAGTGGTAAGTGGGAGAAAATGAGGGAGGGGTAACAGTGTTTAAAAAGAAATGCAAGCTGGGCAATTCAGGAAGCTGAGGTCTGAGGATCACAGGAAAGCCCATGAGACTCTTATCTCCAATAAACCACCAGAAAATCAGAAGTGACACTGTGGCTTAGATGGTAGAGCACTCTCCTTGAGCTGAAGAGCTGAGGGACAGCGCCCAGGCCCAGAGTTCAAGCTCCACGACAGACGAAAGAATGAAAAAACAAAAGAACAAATGAAAGAAAGAAATAACAAACAAAAGAAAGAAAAAGAAAGAGAGAGAAAAGGGAAAAAAAGAGGGGCTGGGAAGGTGGCTCAGTGGTAGAGCGCTTGCCTTGCATGCATGAGGCCCTGGGTTTGATTCCTCAGCACTACAAAAACAGAAAAAGCCAGAAGTAGGGCTGATGCTCAAGTGGTAGCGTGCTAACCTTGAGCTGAAGAGCTGAAGGACAGCGCCCAGGCCCAGAGTTCAAGCCCTATGACCAACAAAAACAAAAAAGAAAGAAAAAGAAAGAAATGTACTTATTACCTTACTTATGTAACTATGACCCCTCTGTTCATCACCTTTACAATAAATTTGTAAAAAATAAATAAATAAATAAAGTTTCAGAAAAAAAGACCTCCCCCCCCCCCAAAAAAAAAGAAAGGAAAGGAAGGAAGGGAAGGAGGAAGGGAGGGAGGGAGGGAGGGAATTCCTGCATATAGATAGGAACCCCCCCCCAGGTCCTTGCCTAGGCAAGAGCCTCAAAGTCTTAACAGAGATAAGCCTTCAACAGAGGTAAACTGAGTCTGCAGCCTAGCCATTGCACTGGCCATGCATTGGGCCTAAGGAACCAGGACTGAAATTTACCAGGAAAAAAAAAAACCAACAACACATTCATTCTGAAGGGAAGGTGGAGCTGATAGATAGACTTAGATACTTAACCACAGAATAGAAGAATTTTTCCCCCATAGTGTTATGGTTAATGAAATTGAAGCTAGCTCCCTGCTCCCCCCTTCCCCCTACAAATCTGAACAGTGGTCTTCCCAGCCATCCTCACTCCAGTCTCACTCACCCTCTGGGAGGCTGCGGAAGGCCATAGGGCTCTCTCTCTCCCCCTGGACCCCCTCATTCTCTGGAAACATGGTTCGAATGCTGTTGTCCTCATAATAATCCTGTTGGGTACTCAGGGTCAGTGTGGAGAGATCACTGATCATGAAGGTGGAGCCCATGCTCACAGTTTCGTTGGAGCCCAGGAGTGGGACCATGCATAAAGATGGAGAGTGAGTAGAGTTGGGTCCATGGGAGCTAGAGTGCCGGCTGACACCATCATTGGAGCCAGAAATCATGGTGACAGTTGAGGCTTGAATGACAGTCGTGCTCAGATCAGTTGTGGGCTGGCCATTTGAACCCACATTGACGGTGCCCTTGGAGTTTGTGCTCCAGGTTGTACCGAAGACTCCTTTGGAAATGGATCCGGAGATGCTGTGTGACATGGGGATGGTCTGACTGGTCTCTGGGATCAGGGTTCCAGATGAATCAGGAACTACATTCAGGTTCAGTTTGGAGATATTTCTTGAGATCCCATGGAGCAGTTGACTGGAACCCTGATCCTGAGAAGTGCTGGAGGCTGGAAGGAGAATCTGCAAGCCCAGCCTGGGGACAGAGGGGCCCGGCTCTTCTTGTGATTGGGGCCTTACAAATGAGTTTAACTCTGGCCTGGAGGGATTGGAGTTACTCTGGCCCAAACCAAAAATCTTGTTTGAGGCAGAATTGAAGGCCTGCTCAGTGTTTGGCCCAGACAGGTTATCCAGGCTCAGACCGGTGTCTTCAGAAGAGCCAGGTTTCAGTACAGGATTTGAGGCTGGATGGAGGGCTCCCTGTGGGTCAAGCTTGGAGGTGTGATTTGAATTCCAGTCCACAGTTTCCATAGGGCAGCAACTGGTCATCTGGAGAGAGGCTGGATCTGAGACTCCATTGTCACAAGGACTGGGGGTGTTATCAGAGTCATGGCCAGGGGCCTCCTCTAAAGCTGGATGAAGGTCTTGAACATGGGCCAATTCAGGACTTGGGATAGGAACCAGGAGTACATCTGGGTTGGGCCCAAGGATGGTACCAGAGCCCAACCCTGGAGCTTCACAGGAGTTGAGAGGTGGTGTCATTGTTGAGTCTTCATGGAGGGCAGGACTAGCCCCTGAACTCACAGCCATGACCAATATGAAGGTCTCTCAATGCCACTGCCTCTTTTAATAAACTTTCTTTTGGGCTCTCTGGGGGAGAGAGAGAGAAAGAACCTATTAGAAACTTTCTCATCCTTATAGTCTTTATTCTTGGTCTGGGAATGTGACTTAATGGTAGAGTACTTGCCTAGCATGCATGAAGCCCTGAGTTTGATTCCTCAGTACCATATAAACAGAAAAGGCTGGAAGTGGTGCTGTGGCTCAAGTGGTAAAGTGATAGCCTTGAGCAAAGGAAGCTCAAGGGGCTGGTAGAGCGCTAGCCTTGAGGTGAAGAGCTGAGGGACAGTGCCCAGGCCCAGAGTTCAGGCCCACGACTGGACCCAAAAAGAAGGAGAAGGAGGAGGAGGAGGAGGAGGAGGAGGAGGAGGAGGAGGAGGAGGAAAGAAAGAAAGAAAGAAAGATTGCTGAGTGCTGGTGGCTCACACCTGTAGTCCTGGCTACTTAAGACACTGAGATCTGAGGATCACAGTTCAAAGCCAGCCCAGGCAGGAAAGTCCATGAGACTCATCTCCAATAAATCAACAGAACACCAGAAATGGCACTGTGGTTCAAGTGGTAGGGCACTAGCCTTGAACTGAAGAGCTGAGGGACAGCGCCCAGGCCCAGAGTTCAAGCCTCATGACTGACAAAAAAAAAAAAGAGCGAGAGAGAAGGAAAGAAGGAGGGAAGAAAGGAAGGAAGGAAGGAAGGGAAGGGAGGGAGGGAGGGAAAAAAGAGAGAGAGAAAGAAAGAAAGAAAGAAAGAAAGAAAGAAAGAAAGAAAGAAAGAAAGAAAGAAAGAAAGAAAGGAAGGAAAAGAAAAGGAAAGAAAGAAAGAGCCAGACATGAGCATGGGCCTTGAGTGAAAAAGCTAAGGGAAGCATCCAGCCTCTTGAGTTTAAGCCCTAGTACTAACCAAAAAAGAACTAGAACTAACCAACTAGAACTAACCAAACTAACTAGAACTAACCAACCAAAAAAGAATAGGAAAAGGAAAAGGAAAAACGAAACAAAACAAAAAACCTGTTAGATATCTCCAGCTCTGAGTACAGCGGCAAGACATAGGTGGACAGATGAGGAGACCCTCCCACTTTAAGTTAGAAAGGGCGGAGGAGCCTCTACTTTCAGCTAGCTATGTGACTTAGTGATCTAAGTTCACTAACAAGATCTCTGAGCCTTGAGATTTGGAATGTTCTAGGCCGAAGACAATCCCTTAAGTTATCAGAACTACTCTGCAAATGGTCACAGGACCAAATTCTCAAAGCCACCTCCGCAGAGCTGCCTATGGCCCCTCACCGTTGACCCATTCTGCATGAAGCAGGCTGCTGCACATTGAAGAGCACAAAGCAGCAAACAGAGCCTATCTTGAGCTGGGAATGTGGCTTAATGGTAGAGTGCTTGCCTAGCATGCATGAAGCCCTGGATTCGATTCCTCAGCACCACATAAACAGAAAAAGCTGGAAGTGGTGCTGTGGCTCAAGTGGTAGAATGCTAGCCTTGAGCAAAAGAAGTTCAGGGACAGCACCCAATCCTCAGCACTGGCAAAACAACAACAACAAAAATAAACACAGAGCCTACCTTGTCTAGCAATCTGTGTGTGGGTGAAGTCCCTGGCCCTCCTGCCATCCAACCCCACCCAAGTTACCCTCCCTGCAGAGATCTTAGAGAAAACTCACCTGGCAGTATGATGTTCCTAATCATTAGCAGGCCCCTGAGAGGAGATGCAAAAGGAATTGCATCAGATGAGTGGCTTCTTCAACACCCACTGTGCAGCTTACAAACCAGGTGTGCACATCTACTAAGCAGCTCCATACTACGTGCACACACCCACACTGGGAGTTAGGCATCATTGCCTGTTTGTGTACATGAGGAGTGAGGGTCAAGACGAAAATCACACACTACCGTCCTCTAGCCACTAAGACCATGCTTGAGGACAGAATCTCCAATATTTATCAGAATCTAAAAGGTTCTTCTAGCCTGGAACCAGTGGCTCAAGCCTGTAACCCTAGCTAATCAGGAGTATAATAAGTAAATAAAAGGCCCTTTTTTGCCTGGCCTTAAGTCTTTTTTCACTCTCTTGCCCCTTTCTGTATTCTCTTTCTCTCTTTATTCTACCCTGAGTTCTGGACCAGGTACCCTTCCCCATCTTAGGCCTGCAGTTTCAACCTCCACAGAAAAGGATCACTTGTTAGTTCTCAGGGCACCTTGTTCACTTTCGCTTCCCGAGGATACAATACCTTGCTTCCTACTAGAAAATGAGCTCCCCAAGAGCATGGGCTGCCTCTGAACTGTTCTCTGCCAGCCTCTAATGTCTACCATAGCACCAGGTACACAGCAAATGCCTATCGATATTTGGGAGTATTATTTTACTCTTCATTTCTTCATTTGGTTATCTGGGTTTGTTTTCATTATTATTGCCTGGTTTTCTCACTCATTTATTTACTCATTCACTGCATCACTGGCTCATTCCACAGACATGGCTATGGCTTTGTGTGTGTGTGTGTGAGTTACACTTTTAATCCCAGATACTCAAGAAGCTAGGATCCAGAGGATCAGCATTTGAAGCTAGCCTCAACAGAAAAATCTTGAAACTCTGTCTCCAAAATAACCAGCAAAAAAACAGGCTGGAGATGTGGCTTAAGTAGTAAAACACCAGCCATGTGAGCGAGTCAAGCAATTCAAACCCCAATGCCAGCAACATTAGAAAAAGGAAGAATAACAATTCATTTAATGTGGAGACTGTCTTTTTTTT